TCCCACTCAATCACGATCTTTAAACTTGCAAAATATTTTATTTGTTCCTAAATTGCGCAGTAACCTTATTTCCATTGCTAAACTCTGCAAATCTAACTGTATTTCTGTTGAATTTTTTCCTTATCATTTTGTGGTCAAGGACCTTCGCACGGGGGCGTGTCTAATGTGGGGAGTGAACGTCAATGATGTTTACTATGCAGCTATTAACACTCTTCGCAGTCTTCCTCAAATAAACTCAGTTACAACTTCACCTGGATCGCTTCTATCCTGGCATCACAAGCTTGGTCATCCTTCCATCAAAGTTCTCAAGCAACTTCTTCAAAGTTTAAAATTAGAATCTACTAAAATGTCAACTAGCTCATTTCATTGTGATGCTTGTTCTATCAATAAAAGTCATAAACTACCATTTGGTAGCAATTCATTTACTGTCTCAAAACCACTTGAACTAGTCTATTCAGATGTCTGGGGTCATGTTCAAATGTCCATTGATGGCTATGCCTAGTATGTCATTTTTTGTTGATTTTTACTCTAAATACATATGGATCTATTCGATGAAACAAAAATCGGATGTCTCTATCCTATTCCCTCAATTTAAAACTTTAGTTGAAAAATACCATAATACCCCTCTTATTTCTCTGTTCACATACAATGGTGGTGAATACGTTGCTCTCACTAAGTATCTCCAAGAGCAAGGTATCTCTCATTTCACTACCCCTCCCCACACCCAGAACAGAATGGAGTGGCATAAAGACGACATCGCCACATTGTAGAGACAGGTCTGTCTCTTCTACATCATGCACAACTTCCGCTTACTTTTTGGTCTTATGCCTCCCAAACGGCTATTCATTTGATCAATAGATTACCCACATCCATCCTCCATCACAAGTCTCCATACCAGCAACTATATCATACCTTACCAACATACACCAAGCTAAAACCTTTTGGTTGTTTGTGTTTCCCATGGCTTCGTCCATATGCTGCTACAAAACTTCATCCTGGCTCCGCTAAATGCATTTTCCTAGGTTACTCCTCATCAAAATCTGCGTATAAATGTTATGATCCAATCTCTTAAAAACTTTATCACTCTCGTCATGTGGAGTTTATTGAGAATATTTTTTCTTATCACATTGATGAACCGCCAACTACTTTACCTACCACAAATGAGTTTTTTCTCATTAATTCCTCACCTATTACTTCACCATCACCAACTAGACTTTCTCGAGTCTTACCTACCATAAATTCAACCCCTCCTCAAGCAGAAACTCAATCTTCTGTTGCACCAACTTCAAATGAAACCAATTCTTCAGAAACTCAACCTGTACCATCAGTGTCTCCTCCCGCTTCACCTATTTCAACCTCACCACAACCCATACCCACTCAACAAAATCGAACCAGCCCCTTTCCTCCACCACGAGACAGAAAACGTAACCCCAAATATTTCAATGCCAATCTCATTAACTCAACCACTCTTCATCCTATCCCACCTACTATTGAACCTACAACACACAATCAAGCTCTAGAAGATCCAAAAGTGGCGTAAAGCTATGGATGCTGAATTTAATGCCCTCATTCACAACAAAACTTGGGACCTTGTTCCTCCCACATCTTGCACTCTTATTGGCTGCAAGTGGGTATTTCGCATCAAACGCAAACCAGATGGCTCTATTGACAAATACAAAGCTAGGCTTGTCGCAAAAGGCTTTCTCCAACAGTATGGAAAAGACTATTTTGACACCTTCAGCCCAGTTACCAAACCTGTTACTATCCGAACCATACTTTCCATTGCTCTTTCCAACAATTGGCCACTTCGTCAACTTGATGTCAATAATGCGTTCCTTCAAGGAACTCTTCATGAAGAAGTCTTTATGACTCAACCGCCTGGATATACTCACCCTCAGTTTCCCACTCACATTTGTAAACTAAAAAAATCCATCTATGGCCTGAAACAGGCACCTAGAGCCTGGTACACTGAACTCACCACCTTTCTTTTACAGTTTGGTTTCAAAAAGTCCTTAGCTGATGCTTCCCTATTCATTTACCACTCAAACAACATCATCTGCTACTTTCTTGTTTACGTTGATGATATTGTCCTCACTGGAAATAATTCTAGTTTCTTGACCTCCTTCATCACAACTCTAAGCAACAAATTTTCCCTCAAAGATCTTGGAACGCTTCATCATTTTCTTGGCGTCGAAGTAATTCCCACCACCTCGGTATTATTTCTATCTCAACACCGCCATATTCAAGATATTTTAACTCAGTTTCATATGGAAGGAGCAAAAGATGTTACTACTCCACTAAGTACATCTGAACCCTTAATTGCTATTGACTCTACTCCTACAGTAGATGCTACACCTTACAGAAAACTTGTTGGGTCTCTTCAATACCTGGCCTTCACCCGTCCTGATATTTCCTTTGCCATAAATAAGTTGTCTCAATTTATGCATGCTCCGCGTCAGTCCCATTGGCAAGCACTCAAACGTCTCCTTCGCTATCTAAAAGGCACTATTCATCATGGTCTCTTCCTAAACCGTAATTCTCCTATGACACTCACGGTCTTTTCAGACTCCGACTGGAATGGTGTGCACGATGCAGGTAGGTCTACTACTGCATATATTCTCTATCTTGGGTCTAATATTGTTTCTTGGAGATCCACAAGGCAAAAGTCGGTATCAAGGTCATCTACTAAGGCGGAATATAAAGCTCTAGCCAATGCTGGTGCTGAACTGATCTGGTTAAAACAACTGTTACAAGAATTGGGTATTATTGTCAAAACCACGCCTACTTTATTTTGTGATAACACAGGTGCCACATATGTATGTGCTAATCCGGTGTACCACTCACGAATGAAGCATGTAGCACTTGACTATCATTTTGTCCGGGAACATGTATCTACTGGCCTTCTTCGCGTACTCCACATCAACTCCCAAGATCAACTGGCCGACATGCTTACCAAGCCACTCTCTCGAGCACCGTTTCTGCGCAATAGATCCAAGATTGGTGTCTCCGATCGATCCTCCATCTTGCGGGGGCGTATTACGGATAATGGATCATCCGATCCATCAGGGCCCACATAATTCGATTTAATCAAATTGTAAATACTTAGTCATGTGTATAGTCAAATACCTAGTCTTAGATCCTATGACTTCTCCTATAAATGTGGATGACCACAACTGTGTAATCAGCCTATATATGGCCTTTACTTCATTCAATATACACATACAATTCAATAACCTTTATATTAGCGACCCCGTCGTCACTAGAAATCAATACTCTTGTAATGATAAAATTTGAGGAAAAGAATTGCATCTTTCAAATTTGTGGATTTTAATATTGTTTTGATACAAATGTAAAAAAAAGTTCTAAAGTTAAAAAGAAGTTAATTATACGATAATATAAGATATATTTTGAATTTTGAATCTGACTCAGCTTAATTTTTTTTTATAGATGTACCCATGTTCATTAATCATTGTTGTCCTTATCTACTTGTATGCATAGTGGATAATGGGTAAAGTACAAACAGTCATAAGTATTGTTTATAACCACCACTAGAAACATGGTATCTAAAGATCACTTGGTTTGTTTATACAAGAAATCGATTTTTCGTGTGTATTTGTGTTTCAAAAACTCTAAAACAAATGTTGAATTAAAAGTTTTCATGGTTGATAGATTACAAGCTTAAATTATGGAAATGAGCCTACAGAAATTTGAAATTGTTTGTGTTGGTGAGTTTCGTTCTAAAGTTACAAGTTCATTGTCTTTTATGGTGCAACTTTTAATGCATGACTTTGATCCAAGAAAGAAAGACATTGTAGCAGAAGTTGGTCTTGTCGGGTCGGGTCTAGTAACAATCAACAGTGGTCCAGAATAAGATCAAGAAAAACATAAGAGTGTAAAAGGAAAAAGAAAAAAAGAACCGAAGTGGACACCTACAGAAACTGCAAAGTGGTTGTCCCTTTTATTCAAATTACCTACTCTCCCTCCCGATATATTAAAATTTGATTTATATATACTCTAATTAACTATTAAATATAAAAAATATATCACAAATACAATAATTTAGAAAAATAATATACACCAATATAATTTTACAAACATTATACAACAATTACAACAAGTTAATTGTATATATAGTATAGCGTTATATATTTTTAAAATTATGTTTTAAAGTTGTTTTCTATAACAAATATACAAACATGTTCTATTCTAAAGCCAAAATATATAACATTTTAATTTAAAACATGTTATTTAGTCGGTGTTTATTTGTTTGTGACATAAATTAGTTTAATTTTTTAAATTTATTACAATATAATTATTGATAAGAACATTAAAATAGCTTATAAGCTAACTTATAGATTATTTTTAAAAAAATAATTAAAATAATTTATTAATTAGTTCATATGGTTTTTCTATAAATTTTCAAAATATATCCTTATATGTTTATTTCCTTATACATAATATGTATTTTTATGTCAATTAAATTTATATAGCTAGTCTTAGTAAATCATATTTTTATTAGTTAACTTATCAAATAAAAATTAAATTTTCAGGTAAATTTTCAAGTAGTGTGTAATAATATAACATTTGCTAAATAAAAAATTGCAACAATATTTTATATTTTATCAATTTATGTAACAAATTTTAAAATTTATATGAATCTATGCAACAACTTTTCAATCTATACAAATAATTAACATGAATCATAGATAGTTAAATATGTTATACATAAAATGTCGTATGTTTTGTTCATAGAATGATAGTGTATTTCGTCTCGACCCACCTTATTATATAAACTGAAAAAAAAAAAAAAAAAAAAAAAAAAAAAAAACTTTGTTACATAAATATATATATTTAATTTAAGGATATCCATGTAAAATCAAATTATTCAATGAACACATACATGATTAGTGGGGAAATTTGGTAATCATGTTGTTGCCCTTATAAATACCATTTGAAACTAAGACTCCAAACACATCTCCCAAAAAAAAAAAAGCAACAAAATGGCAACCCCATCTCAACTCAAAACACTCCCTCCATATTCATCCCCTCATCCTTTCGCCATTAGAGCTCCATCACCTTCTCCATCATCATCTTCCTCTTTAGCAACCTCCATGAAATTCAAAACCCTAATCCACAACTTCATCTTCTCCCACATCTTCCGACTAGCAAGGGCCCTCACCAAGGCCAAGACCATAATCATCGAGCTTCTCAAACAGATCCACCTCAACAATGTCAACTTCCTGGAACCACTGATCTTGAAGAAGAACAAAAACAAGAATAAGCTCTACTTTGGATCGTTTAGGTTGCACTACAACTGGTGTTCATCACATGTTGTCCCGATGACTTCACCCAACCCGTTTAATGGTCAAGTCTACTATGATTCAACCTGGGGTTCCTTTGCTGATGAAATGGCTCCTCATGAGTCGCAGCTCTCAGGGTACCTCCAATGGCTGGAAGAGAAGAACAAGAGTGATGATCATGGGAATAAGGGCTCTGGGATTACTGTTGATGAGATGAATGAGATCGATCGTCTTGCAGACAAGTTTATAGCGAATTGCCATGAGAAATTCAGATTGGAAAAACAAGAATCTTACAGGAGATTTCAAGAAATGATGGCTAGAAGTGTGTGAATGAGAAGGTAATTCTTGATCGCTTTATAGACTTATTTCCCTTATTTCTTAAGGGGTTGGGGTGGTATAGTTAACACAATGGATGCATGGTGGAGGGAGTGGGGGTTCTGAGCTTCAAAGATGGAATTTTGAGAAGATTGCAGAAGAGGGGGTTGTTTGTAATTCTGCAATTCTTGTGTTTATAAGTGGAAGATCTTTAGGAGTTATGTTTCAGTTAGACCCTTAATCTAAATATATCCACATTTGCTCCAGAAATTATAGTAGTATTTTAATATGAATAAAATGATTATCTGATCTTTTATCGACAAAATGCTACTGTGATGGAAAATTGGTTGAAACGTTTATTTTGATAACACAGAATGTTTTCAATCTTATGCTTCTTTCATTTTAAAAATTGATTCATCCAAGAAATGTACAACTATTATTTTCATAAATAACCGATGAATTTACTAAAAATACATTTTGAATGTCTTTCGATTCATTTGAAATGTTCTCTTTTAGCTCAACTTTTTTTCTGTTTTACTTACTCAACTCGTTAAATATCCTTATAATGTTTTA